CGCCCAGCATTAGGAACCTCACAGTGGGTTTGATGTTGCTTTCTCTTACCCGGCTGCATGTTCACCTGGTCAGTGAGATGCACTGATCTATTTGCAGTCATGCCTGACTGTGGCCAAAGTTTGCATCGCAACAAATCCCACTTCAACTGCTCCCTCCCAAGTACAGAGGAGAGGCTTTGCCTGTGATGCATGGGAAAGTTCTGCGCTCTAATTGTTCATCCTACCCACAAACAGTCACTGCTCCTGGCTCTTGTTTCCCCCACCATGTATCCAAGTGTCTTAATGAAGCAAACATGATAAGTAGGATAATCAGCATCTCCCATCAAATTCAATGGGGTCTCTGCACCCCAGATGGGCCACATTGATCTTGGGACATCCTCTCAGACCACACAGTGACTCTCCCTTCTCATCTTCCCCCGCGCATTTTCCCTCACCCTGATTTTTCTGCTGAACTTTCTAGTCAAAGAGCATTTACTGACCACGGCTCGAAAACAAAACCAATCTTGTTCTGCCTCAGTAACACATGATGTCAAGGGTTCATGGAGAAAGGGCACAGGATGTAAGAAGCCCAGAGGGCACCAGAGGGCTGCAAGGTTCAAGCACCACTTCCCAAACACAAGGACTGGGTGGGCACCAGCAGGAAGCTGGGCACATACCACATGGAAGAGTACTCAAGGGTCTAAATCAGCTGAAAACCAGACACCAATTGATACCAGTGGCTAAAATGACGTGAGAAAGCGGGAGTTCAGCTCACGAATTCACACTGTGGAAACCCTCACAGATGCCAATAGAACACTGCCACACTGCAGGTGAAAGCTGCTTTCAGCAAAACTCTAACTCCTGATGAAGTTGTTCTGCTGCCAAAGCACTGCAGCAGCTGGTGGCTCACCAAAACCTTCCATCACTACACGACAATTTCCACCTCCTCCAGGGAGAGCTCCACCAGCCCTTGGACAGCCTCATCCTGCCCAGGGCACAGCTCCTATCTGGGGCAGAAGACCATGCAACCTCCCCGAAACCGCTCCAAATGGAAAGCAAAGCAACCATCCTCCTTGGCAGTGGGAAATTCCACCCGCGTGAAGGGTTTCCTTATTTTTCTTGTTTAGCTTATTTCCCAGTGCTGAAGCCACATCATCCCGATGGCATGGGCTGAGCTCATGGGATTCCCCTTCGCTCGGACACCGCTGCCTGATGAACCATGAGGAACCAGCGCTGCTTCCTGCTGCCCGGGCTTCCAGTCACAAACTACATGTTTTCCAAGAAAAGTATAAACAGTAAATGATAGCTCTTTATGGCAGGAAATGCCTTTTTAATCTGAAGTGGAGAGTTGTATACTCTTATTTAAATCTATCACAGACAACATTAGCCATTTGGGAGCCTTATAAGGAGCACTCATTCTGCCTGGATCATTTGTGATTCGTACTGGGAACCTTTAGCTACAGAATTAACACCAAAAAACAACCCCAAGCCTTCATTTTGCTTTGAAATACTCCAAAGAAGTGAATGGAAAGACCTTTAAATGTGTGTTTATTGAACAGATGCTTAGGAAAATAATAGCTCTATATTAATGAAATGTGAGGCTTTGCCCAAAGGAGATATTGACCCCAGTGCGACTCTTGGGTCAATAAAACCTCCACTGGGTTAAAGGATCTGACCCAGCCCACAGGCTGGACAAGCCTTCAACATACAAATTATAACCCACAGGTATAAATGAACCAAACCTGTTTCTTGTATCAGTGGCCTTTTAAAAATGATTTTGCTTTGCTGTTTTTAAAACTGCAGAGCAATTACACAGACCACGAGGATGCACCAGAACGGAGCCTAGAGGCACGTCTGCTCCAGGACCTTCCACAAAGAGCCCAGCAAAGCTGGCACACAAGCACCTCAAACAGAAGAGGACCTACCTGTTCACGGAGAGCAGTAGCTGGTCCATGCATGCTTTGATCTTGTTTTGTGCTTCTAGATGTGTCATGTTCTCCGTGCTCTCCCCATTAATTGCCAGAATGATATCTCCTGGGCACAGGTTTGCCATGGCAGCTTTACTGCCAGGGTTAATCTAGGCAGGGAGAAACAAAGGGGTTACTTAAAAGAATGCTCTGCTTAAAAAAAGCCCAGTTTCTTGGAATAAGCAGCAGATAAAGGAATAGTTATTTCTGGAGAAGACATGTGTTTTGCCCATACCAGTGGCATCTACCAGAGGCTGGATGTCAGAGCCAGGGTTCACGGCTCAGCCCCAGTTCTCCGGGGGCCATCCCCTACAACAATGCTCTCTGAAAGAAGAGCTTTCTGTCAACCCCGGCCAGTGTGTGACCAGCTCCTGTCTTCAGATTTGTCTCCTGCTTGACACAAGGCAGTACCCTCCTCCAGAGAGATGCTTTACGCTCCTTTGGCTTGGAGGCCTGAAATCACGCTGCGAGAGCCAATGCCTAAAGCTCACATGAACCCCTCCTCTTTGGCTAACTGTGTAGTTAGAAGACATATGCAGCCCCCTAATTGCTTCCTGTGGAGAGGTTACATTTGACATCAGTTTTTCCTGACCATCATTCAAACGACTTGTCTCTTTCTAGCCCTGCACGGAGTATCACACAGCTCGTTAAGGCTCCACAACCCCTTCCTTCTGGTTTTGTAGCAATGCCAGAACCTTATAAAACTTGTAACTTCTTTCCTGAGGAACTACTGACAGGTCCAGGTACCGTTTGTGGTCAGCCATAAGACCAATCCTGCAGCCCATAAAAGAGTTCCTCGAGAAATTACTGTTTCATTTACATCAGCCCAAATGTGGTTTTCATTTCTGCAGTAATACAAAATGATGCGAGGCCCAGGCAGGACAGGTAAATGTGTCTGTTTAAACTCTTAATAGCGATGTGCTTGCCCTCTAATTTCCCCTCCAGTCATTCAGAGCATCTGCTAATGCTGCACTAGGCGACCACATGGTTTATCAAGCGAGAAAGTAGAGCCTGACTTTCGGTTATTCATCTCTCACTGCATTTAGAGGGTGGTGGTGCTTTGAATCCATTTGCTCTTGATTTAAACAGGTGAAATCCCCAGTCTCAGGTCTCTGCTTCATCACACCCTGCTCAGAAGATCCAGGCAACAGCATCCCTGCTCTGCCATCCACCTCCCCTTGGATGCAGCTTGTGTCGCTGCATGGTGGCAACCAGACACTACTAAACCAGGATGGGTTTTCACAGTTTGAGACCACGTGGTGGCCATGAACCCCCCAACCACCATGAAACACTCAGTCTTCTAGAAAGGAGGGATGCACGTGTCCCTGTGTCCATCTCTGTTTTCTCCGGTTCCGTTTCCACAGGGAGTTTGAAAAGGATCTAGTCTTGCTGCCAAAGCCCTGTGTGGGTCACGCTGGGGCTGCTCACAGGACCGAGACTGGTCAAACAGCCAGTGAGGGGCAGGCAGCACCCAGCATAACACAGACCTGCTGCACCGCTCCTGTGTGACTACAGCCACCAACACCCCCAAAACACAAACCTGAAGGTGATTGAGGAGCTCCAAACCACTCTTTACATTTAAGTAGAGCTGGCAGCTTGAATTAAGCCTTTTGTTGCATTGTCAGAGTAAATCAGTGTTTGCCATTTGCTCTTCAATAGTTTCAGCTGGGCTGTTTTGCACTAAAACCTTGCCAAACCAACTCCTCCCCTGCTCACAGGCTCCCTGTGACTCAGAGCGAACAACAGGAGGTATTTCTGCACGCAGCACACACGAGCTGTAAAGCTCCGACACAGGACATTTTGAGCCAGGGTAGGTTTATTTTGTCCTGTTGGGGTTTTTGAGCCTCTCTAAGACAACATGGCATTCGCAGAGCCTTAAGGGCCTTCTACAGCCACAGAAGCTGCCAGACCTACCAGAAAGTCAACCAGAAGCTCAACCAGCATCTCCAAAGAAGCATCTCCATGTGCTTGCCTATTGTTATCTGCTTCCCTGGGTGTGTGCCCTGCAGTGGGCTTTTGGACTAACAGACCTTCAGTTTGACCCAGGACAGCTGCATTTTGTTCTTGTCTATTCAATGCTGTCTAGATGTCCAATGGATTGTTCTCCTTGTGCTGATCTTAACCAGCTTGTCGTTTCCTTGGAGAATAAGCTGTTCATAAATGGGGCTCTTAGCTGTTTCCTACTTTTAGATTCTGGTTTATTTCAAATTATTTTGGCAGTATCTTCCTATTAGCAACTTATGCAAGCCATGGAGATGACTGAGGGCTCGAAATGGAGCTGCACTCCAAGAACTCATTAGTTTGAGATATAGCATCGCTGCCACAGCAGCTTGGGAATTAGTATCGTAATGTCTGTCAGGTCCAGAGTTTGTATTTCAGTGAATAACGTTTAAAATACTTCAAACCAAGTTCTCCCAACTCACAGCTGTGCTGTGACACCAAACATGCCGCAGAAAGCCCTACTAGCCTGGTTATGGGCCAGGACTGCGTCTGAATCCTCATGCAAGGGTCCTACGTGCTTTGCTCCACGTGGATCCATGCAGACAGCCTCCTGCAAACCCAGAATCTCCCTCAGGACAAGGTTGTGATTTTATACAGAGCATCACCTCCACACTGAGGATAAAGATGGGACCCACAGGTGGTAGCACTGTCCAACATCCCACAAATTGATGACTTGGTAAAAGGAGATACTGACCAGTGAGCTACTCTCACACCATCACAAACCAATCGGTTTTAGATATGCTTTTGGTTTTCCTATTATTTTCCCTTCCACCTTTCCCAAGATTACCACCCAGCTCTCTGCTGGTCCCCTAAGGGGACCAGCTTCAAGCACCCCCTCCCCAGCCAAGTGGCTACTCTGATGCTATGGAACAGACTGGAAAGAGCCCAAAGCCAGCAGCAGCTATCTTATCTGGCCACCGGAGCCTTGTTAGGATTTACTGAGTGCTAGCATCTGACATCAGGCCAATAAAATAAAGCACATTAAGGCAGCTGTTGTGCTAGGCCAGTTGGTGTTGGAAGCTGCACAATCTCATTTAGTGAGCAAGATTACTTGCACCGAGAGAAGTTTACTCATCAAACACACACAGCGTTACACTTTCCCCCCTGGAGAGCAGCCACAGGAGCGTGCCAGGGCTGCAGGGCAAAGTCCCCTGTGTCCCACTGCCCCTGCAGGGACAGCTCAGCTCTAGAACTGGGTCAACGCCACAAGCTGAAACAATCACAGCCTCAGTGAAAGGTTAATTTGTTATATTAACTTAACCTTTTTTAACCCTTTTCCCCCAAAACCTGCCTCTGTAACATCTCCTGGGTCAGGACCCAAGGATGAGGAATATGGTTCCTCCTCACTTCCTGCATAGTCTGGGCACAGCCATTGGAAAGAAGAATTTAGTATTTATTCTCCTAGTACTTTTTACTCAAATTAACAAAAAGTACCTATTCAGGCCAAATCTATCCAGTAAAGGCAGCTTTCTCTCTGCCAGATCTCCTTCTCCTTTTAAAAGAAGCAGTACTACACCAAAAGACAGAGAATCCCACCAATTAATGAAGCCATCTCCCCAGGACTTCATGGGTTAAAACACGCAATCCCATAGGAGAAGCCTACACAGACCACACCACTCTTCTCTTAAATCAATGGTGGTCTGTTACAGGCCAAGTGGGGGGGAATTTTCTGTTCTGCAAGTGTGATCAAAAGGGCCTGATTAAAGCCTTCGAGAGGCTTTCAAGATAGTGTGACAAAATTCTCAGCTTCGAAACAAAGGCAGCCTGTTCTGCTATCGGGAAACACGCGACGGGGCAGCAGCCGAGCTTACGGTAGCAGGAGCTTTTAAAGCAGGAAGAACCCAGAGCGAAATGACTAACTAGTGGAGATAAACTCCCCAAATCCTTTAAGCATTCTTTGCAGGGATTCTCTTCAGAGCACCCCGCCTTCATCAAGCCATTTGCATTTTTCTAATTGCTCATATAAATCCCCATCGCGACACTACCCAGGTTTGCTGCACAGCCCAGTCAATGAAGAGCATTGCTTAGGCAACTCTAATTTCTTTAACTACTGAAGAAAACAAGCAACTTAAGAGCATAAAAGGGAAAGAACCAGAGGACAAGTGTTACAAAAGGCAAGACACTTGAAAATCCTTTCAAATCCAAGTACTGATGGATCCAAATCCAAATTTAGATTCATAGTGCAGATCCTAATCCAGCTCAAAGGCTGAGGTCTCTGTACAAGGAAAAGGCTGTGAACCATTGAAATCAGACACGAGTTTTAGAGCAACCAGCCACATAACCCGAGTGAAACCCCAAAATGCTGATTGAGAAAGACAGAGGTCACTGAGACACCCACATCTGGCTTGTTTTTGCCAGAAGCTTGCTGTGCTCAGCCCAAGGGTACTCAGAACTCCGAGCAGGAGCTTCTGCTTACCAGAAGCTTTACATGTCCTAAAGGCTTCTGGAAAGTGTTTTCTGGTTTATAGTGAATGACTCCAGCTGAGCATCTGCTCCATGGTGCCTGTTACTGAATGGTCAGTTCAATAACAGTTTCTTTTAGCTCTGCATTGCTCGTATCTGATAATTAAGACTAATTACGTTAAATAAATCTTCTTTAACTGGGTATATTTTGCTTTCTGAGCCTTGGACTGTAACATGTCATTCACACGTAATCTGCTATCAGTCCTCACAACGTGTAAAACTACTTAAGGCTTAATGGGTGCAAATTTGAGTTGCTCTGGTTGACAAGAAAGATTGAGTGTGGCACGAGCATTGAGGCATCTTTACAATGTTTGGAAGATTTATGGGCTGAAATCCTCTTGCACAGCAAGTTTTTCTTTATTTTTCAGTTTCCAATAGAGATCTGCTCCCTCTGTGAGAAAACCAGGTTTATCTCAGGTCTCTCTGGCTGTTAGAGCTACTGGAATGCCACGCTGCAGCTCCACATTTTTGCAACGGTTCCAAGTAACCCAATGAATCCTGGCTTTGCTGACGTTGTTGTGCAAGTCCTGAAGTAGAAACCAAACCCAACCTTATCTATCTTCCAAGGCTTGGGGCATGTGCAGCGTTAATGGCTGTGCACAAATCCTCTCCATTAACAGGCTGTGGCTGGATACGCCGTGGTTTC